CCCCCCCCCTTCCCGTTCATTTCACCCTTTCTTGAATAAAATAAAGAATCGAAATTCCTAATCCACTCCTACCCTTGATTTTCATACCGAATTAAGATCACTGAGCTTGCTTTAAACCTAAACGCTTCTAAGTATAGAACGCAATATCCCAAAGTTCGAATTGGTTTAAAGAATCGAATTTCCTGAAAAAAATATTAAAGTGAATGTTACATGCACTGAATGAGAATTAATGCTTTGAGTTTGGTGAAAATATGGAACAGTGCAGCATGTGAATGACTTGACGATTTTCACGGCGAGGGACTTAGTAAATAAAATTTCCGAGATCTGACGGATAACTCGAGTATCATCTACACAAACTAACAATAAATTTGAAAACCCGAGCAATTAAATATTCAGTGCGGTTAAAAAAAGCTCTCCGCCCACATTGCCGATCTTGCCCAAGTTCTACAGATGGTATTTTCGCGATCGATTACACAGGTCTGCATTAATTTGAAAAAACAAAACAAAAACAAAACAAAGTAAAACTTCAGCGAAATTTGCGATGAAAAGTTAGGATCGTCCTTATCTGTGACAATTACAGGTATATTTATAGGAATTGAACCAATCTTTTTTCCCTTAAGTATTCTATTGAAGCCTCTGAGCACGCCTATGCGGCTAAAAATAAGATCCTAGAAAGGAAGTGATTAAGTCGTCTTGACTGAGTTGTCGTGGGAGATGAAATGTCCGGGCGTGAACATCTCCGGAGAAATTAAGCAGTTCTTTTAATTACAGACGTCTATTCCATGAAATAATATATTCTCTATTTAGTAATCAAAATGCAATTTGCTGCAGCATAACTACTCTGATAAAATCTTTTTCTAAAACAAAGGCACTCCTACACATCTCTGACAAGATTTTGCGCTAAATTAGATTCCTCTTATATCATTACAGATAGAATATCTTTAATTCTCTCTGTCCAAGCAGCACTTAATGTGGAAAACTTACGGAAGATTTTATCTTAGTTATCCGATTTGCCGCCGATGCGATCAAGCTATTCAAAGCAGTGAATGCATTCAGTTCGAATTCTCTTGTAGCCCTGCGCTTTTGTTTTAGACTTCAATAAACTTTTAATAGCGGATTTTAACGCGGATTTAATTGCAACCGTGCCTTAATTTCAGCTGCTTTTGTATTCTCTGCTTTTCATAACAAATACGTTTAGTTCTGATTTTAATGGACTCATTCGGGAATATAGCACTCCCTCTGCCGGGTAAATTTTCTCTGCATACTCTTTAAATGCTGTAAAAAAAACAGACTTTCGACCACATAAATAGGATTGAAAGTATAGTGCGTGCTTATCTCATCAGAATTTCCAGACATAGATTTCTATTGTTACTTACAGAGAGAGCGTTTCTTTCTTCCAGAAACAAGCTCAACGTTTACCGATTCAACGCGCGAGAAGGAGTTTAGACCCGAAACTGTGCCACTTTTTTGAAACCCGGCAAGCTTAAGGTTAGTTCTTCTTTCTACTGCCTTTTCTATTTACGTCTCGGTATTGCTGAATACCTGCCTTTTTAACAAAAACCCTCGCCGTCTTCGGAGCGGTGTTGTTTATCTCGAAATTACTGCACGAATCAAAGACTTTGCATGCACCGCGTTTCTTCAAAAAGATTTTTTAAAAAAACTCCTCATAAGCGACATCTTCTCGTTGAAATAACTTAAAATGTACTATTTTTGAATCCTCTATTTGTTTGAGTGGGATCTTTCTTAGTTTACGGAATTATCAGTTGAATTGGATATCATTTTATCCCTTAGTTGTCCCCAGCTTCGACGGGAGACAAAAATTTGGCATCGACTGCTTAAGTTAAAGCTTGTTGTAAATAAATAAAGTTGGCGCCTGTGGATAACCCTTTATTTATTTCATTCGTATGATCAGATGTAACTCTCCTCATAACATAGTTTAAGTTGTGATTCACTGATACTGAGTTACTGACTAAGAGTAAAGTAATATGTAGGACAGGTGACCTCGCAGAAGCTGGCAGCAGGGAGGGTGTTAAATGATCAGTAGCTCATGTCCTAGAGAATATAATCTAATATAGTCCTTTGCAGCGCTTCTGATACACATGTATATTTTGGCGAGTGAAGCATTGTCAACATGTATATTTTGGTGAGTGAAGCATTACAAAAGGGGTTTATGAACTGAAATGTAAAGTTTGTCTTTGTTCCACTCTCGAAGCGTCAGATTGCAATTTTTTACTTGAAAATAATAAAGTGTAAATGAGGAAGGAAGTAATGCATAAATTGAAAAAATCTATTTTGGTAGCGATGGGGGTTTTTATATTAGTCCCTTATGACAAAAACATCTTGGAAAGTGCGTGCTATAAAAGTCCCTTGTCAGACACGATAAGAAAACGAAAATTTCATTACTACTTTGTATTTTATTTAATTTATGAGTACTATAGAGGTCATTTAACCCTTTACCTCCCATGAGTGACCAAGACAGAATTTCTCCTTACAATATCAAAATAATATCAAGCAGACAAGTTATGAGAATAAAGAAAAATATCAATTAGGGGATTATTAGTTGATCCAATAACAAATACTCCGAACTAACATCACAAAATTTATATGGCAGACAGTAAGGAGAATTACTAATGAGATCTTGGGAGTTAAAGGGTTAAAGACTACGAGGCAAGTTCATTCTGTCCATGATGTCAATAACATTTTCACAGAAAAAAATCGAATTTAGGTAATTTTTTTCAGTGAAAATAGCCTGGTTGGAAGCTTTTTAGATACGAATTTGTTTAAAAAATTTTGGTCTCGAAGACCTGTCTCTTGATGAATTAGTTAGGAATTAACACCAAACTATGCCCGACTTAATCGTCTATTTTTTAAACGTAATTCTTAGTTGCTCTTCGATCTAAAAAAAAAATCATATTGTTCTTATTTTTTGTGCTTTCACTTGACTTTCTACCAACCTCAAACAATATGAAAGATAAAATAAAACACTCAAAGCAACAATTAAGTTCAGTTAAGTGCTGAAAAGGATATTTGTCATATGCAAATTTTTTATTTTACGTGCTGCAAGACAGAGATTAGATCCAATTTTGTATGTTGAACAACAGTTATCAAGCAAGGGTTTTAGATTAGAAACTGGAAACAGCTCTGATAACATCATGTAAAATCCAGATGGTATTGCGAAAAAATAAAAGAGATTAATTTGAGAAACTGCGCGTTTTCTACAAACTTCTTTGTCGAATCTCAATTGTTTTAAATTTGCATAACGACTATGTACTAATGCTTTGTCACTATTACTATAAAACCGACACAACTGGATCGAATGAGTAATAACTTTTATTATTCATTATTTATACGCTTCGATGCTTTATTGCTGGATGAAAATTTTGCGTGCATCTTCAAATCATGAAAAAAAAAAGTACACGATTTTTTGGAATATAAATCTCTACTTGAATTCCTTCTGCTCATATATATGTATATAAGTTGGTATTTTAAGGTTAAAAAGCAAAAAAATTATGATACGAATCCTTGCTACGTGAAGGGATTTAGAGAATAAATACGTGAATTTTTGTAAACATTTTGCTTTGTTATATAAACAATCGTCTCGAAGTGTACAAAATGTGATCTTTTGCGACGACACCATCCAGTTTGATTATTTGCTGCGTCATACATGAATTCTGAAATATGTAAGCGGTCCTTCGAGATAAAATCTTCAGAATGCCGAGAATTTATCAGTTGCAACAAGGCACAGACTCCTTCTCATGTAGACTTGTTCTTTCTTTTGTCTTTACAGTGGATTGAGTCAAGCGTGTAATCTGTAATTGTCTTAGGGGCGGAAATAATGGAAGAGGCAAAATTAGTTTTGTGACGACACTGCATGACGTAGAACTTGACAAAGTGATTGATATCTCAGCTTACGTTAATCCTGTTTGAAAGATGTGCATTAACGATTTTAGTTGCATTAAAGAAAAGCTCTTACTGTAAGTGGCTTTCGCTCATAGCATTAGATATATTCGGCGCAAATCAGTCCTGTTGGCGAATAGATAACAGATAAATTGGGACCTATATATTGGAACCGCTGTGTGAATTTCAATATTTAAGGTAAGGTTTTTGAAATGGCAAGAAAACAGCATTTAAAGCGGTTATGTTTTAAAATATCATTTCTGAAATTCATAGCTTCTCTCTCTGTTACTGCATTAAAAATCCACCTCCGTAAAATATAGTAAAATATATTAGTGGATGTGTGAAATAATTTCTTAATCACAAAAGCAGCAATCTTTGAAACGTATCTAGAAAGTGAAGGGGTTCAATGAAAACCAACGCGAACCTGGGGTTTAATAATGTTGTGTAAGCAGTGAAAAATTGTGTATGCAGCAGGATTTTATAACGTAAATTAAATAAATGTTATGTGCGCCTGTCTTGTCTGATTAAGACGTATGCACGTCTGTGTTGCCTGAAAGATTAAATTCGAGGTCCTTAAGGTTATTTCAATTCCGTGTCTTTTTACTAACATTTTCTCCGCGTGGACCGCAAATTAAGCGGAAAAAATCAAGCATCCATACCTAACGGACCGAGAGGACGACGTTATTAATTTTTTTTAAAACCCTAAATCAATATGCATATCATCCATACTATTATCTATATATTTCCTATGGAGCAACCATTACAGGGAGGATTTTTTGACACGCAAGAGCTTCTTCAGTTTGTGATCATTTATTTTTTCTTATGAGCTTTAAGTTTGATCTAGGGGTAATACCGTTAAGAAAAATTAGACGTCGGTCATTCTCAAGGTTGAAAGTAGAAGGTGTATAATCTTTTGATTTCCCAGGGAAGAATCAGTTGTTGTGATGTTCCGCCATACTCATGACAAATAGTTCGGCCCTAAATTCCCTTTCCTCATCATGGCATATTTTGGATTAAATTATTATTTTTTATCAATTGCAGCACTCCTTTTCAAAGAACAAAGAGGTCATGTCTCTCTACGAGCGCGCACGACACTATCGTTCCCACTCCCTCAAACCTCTCAATCAACCAAGTTTACTTACCCAGCGTTCCAAGCGCACACTCAGCCTGCCAAGCAAACCTATTATACCACCACTCATCAATGTACAACGTTACCATGACAACTGGGAGAATGAAAGCGACGAGGAAGATCAGATCTGTGAAACAAACGAGGAAACTATCGGTAAGTAACTTGTCCTGAGTTCTCGTCACTGTTTCCTGGGTTTTTCTCCATTTTCTCCGGTTTTCCTCTCTCTATGGGAACAAACACTCCAACTTCCACTTTGAAGGGGATAAAAGTGAAAAAAGAGCCACCACTTAGAGGAGCCAGCCTATAGAACAACCACAGATAAAATTTAATTTCACTAAATTTAACGGTGCCATACAGAAAAATCTGTTTGGTTTTTTATCAAATCTAGGACTAGTTACTCTGTGCAAATATGCAATCAGCTTGTCTTCGTTTGCTTTAAGCTTGGTACATTCTGTTTCACTGCATTCGCTGGCCTGCGCAGGGATTTCCACGTATTTTGCTGTATCACTTTCCCATAAACATAGTTTGCTTTCCTTTGATGAACAGCCTGCGTCAGATATCAACTAAGGTTATTGAGTACGCCACGCGACCTACGGCAGTCTCAATTTTCACAGTATGGGCGCTCTATGGGAAGGGAAGGGGAAGAGGGGTCGAGGAGAGGGACTGGGACTTGAGGTCCACTGTCACCTAAATTACGATTTTCTAATAATAACATGCGCGCATAAATGCGCACAAATTTCAAAGTCCAATGCATAAATTTCTATAATTTCTTTTTTTTTATTCAGCCTGGTACACACCAGTTGTTGGACTATCCTGTAGCCTGGTGATATATTTCTGGTCATGCGCCCTAGCGTACTACTCTACATCATGATCCGCATGCGCAATATAAAGAGGGTTTGGTCAGAGCATGTGGACGATCCTCGTTTTAATTTACCGATTTTCCCCCAGTTCAATTCAAGTTGACGCTCTGCAAAACAATTCATGATAGGGCATCTTCAGGGTGTTCACAGTTATAACGATAGGACAAATGACGTACAGTGTGCAAAACACGACAGTGATGACGTTAATTCAATGGGGAAGCGAAACTCTTGAATGAAGAGAATGAACTTAGAAGGAACGAGTATAGTAAAGATTAGAGAAAAATCACACGGATAACAAATAACTTATCGTGAAGTGTTGTTTTTGAAACTTAGAATATCTCGAGAATGCCTTGTAAAATTCAGTTTGTATACTGCAGTAAACTTTTGAATATGCAGGTGAAAATGTTCTTAGCTAATGAAACATTTCAAGGCAATACAAATGTGAAGTTATACTAATTAGAAAGTTTGACAATTTTTTATTATTATTATTTTTGATTATTTTTCTGTTGTTATCATCATCGTTATCACAATCATAATGTTTCGATACTTTTTGAGTTGTTCTAAGCATTATTGCTATTATCAATACAATTTTTACTGTCTGGGTCGTCTCATTTTCATTGTCACTATTTAGGTAAATCAAATTTTTTGAATTGTTAATGATTGTTCCACTGGAATAACCAATTAAATCAGGAAATTGATAAGAGGGAAAAGATTTCCTTTTTATTTGACATCATGTTCAGTAAATGAAAAAGTTAAAATAAATCAATCTTTTCTTTAAGATGAACATGTAAAAGGTGAGACATATTAACTTGACATTTATCGTGTAAAACCTTTGGGTGTTAAAATTCAGTACAAATGTTTCCATCTTCTCTTGATAGGTGCTGTAAATCCATGAATAAATTTTAAAAAACTGAGGGGAAAAGAATGGTTAAAAAAAAGTATCCATTCGACACTTTGCATTTGGCAAACTAAATCTGGGATAACTGATAACTTCCTTGAAAAATAGTCAAAGAGAAACAATATTAGTCCAATTATGCCCGTAAAATGTTGGAAGGTCGCCTACTGGAATGCAAAAAAGTTGCCGAAAAGTTGCAAAATTGCCAAAATTCAAAAAGTTGCTGCGAAAATTTCTTGATATTTTTACATAAACCTAAATGAAAGACTTTATTTTTCGTTATCTCAATAAATGCAATAATTGCAGTAGATAACCTTTGGAACAAAGGTCCTGTTTTAAAAGTGGTTAAATGCCCGGCAGCTAAGCACGATCTCAAAGTACACTAAACGCCCGGCAGTCGGAAACACCCACCAAGGGCTACGCGGAAACTTCCAGATCGGCTAAAAAATTTAAATCGTTTTTGGTAACCAATACTGCATTTTCCCTCTTTGCCGAAAGTTTTCCATGTTAACTTTATAATTCTCTGCGCTAATTGCGTGAAGCGACTAAGTTGTTCCTTGAAATTCTATTAAATCAGCTAAGGTAGTTTGAACTGGTTTCAAGATTCTCGTATTGATTATATTTTATTCATCTTTAAAACTAAGTTAAATAGCTTGTCCTTGACACCCACGTAAGTATTTTGAAAATATTTATATCGCAGTTATTGAAAGTTCAAGTCATTTCTCACTATTTCGACCTACTCCAAACTTTCAAATTGGCGTTGGTCGCCGACTCAAAAGGTTTTGATCCCTTCGACTCTGCACAATTCTTCTCCTTGATTTAGCTAATTTCACATTTAACTTCGATTACATTTCTGTCATTCAAACTGAGTTAGAAAATCAGGAAAATCAATTTAAGTGAAGTGAAATTGAGTTAACTTCCTTATTGACCCTGGAAACACAAGTCGCTCTGAGAGTTATTTTTAAACTGAACGTGTTTACATCTCAATTGGTTTAATTTAGTAGGACATTTGTTTATTCTCATAAAATCTTACCAATGAAAGGGCCTGAAACGCTTCCTTGCCGGAAAAAGCGATCAATTTTACAAAGTTCATCACGAAAAATGATCGAGACCCAAACCTTAAAACAATTCCAATAAGTTCCTATGTAAATGTTTTCATTCCTATTTGTACTAAATAAAATCCTCGCCAATTATGCTCGGTGCATTCAATGATAAAATATTCATATACACAATTCTGTCGTTAAATTGATCGTGTTTCGCGAAAGCATAGGTAATATAGAAACTGGCTTTCTTAAACACCCGCTTTTTGAAATGAAAACCGTTACAGATGTAATACCTCTTTGAACTTATGTAGAGGGAGCACGTGTATTGAAAAGAGAGTAATACTCTCTTGTCACGAAGGCTTGATGATCACGTGCACCAGAACATACGATATTTGTCTACAGCGTGGTTATAAACCATAACAATGAAGCCTCAGACAGAGAATTATTCATCTATTCGCGAATATTTTCGAAATAAAAGCATTTAAATGATTTTTAATGGTGGTTAGGTTGATTTAAATCACGTTCATCCCGTATAGAACCTTCCTTACTCGAAAGTGAAACTCTGCGTTGTCAAAATTTAGAGAAAACCATCTGTTTGAACTTCACATTGGGTAACCTTCATTCACACGCGGTTGTCACCGCGACAAGCGTCAACCTCGTTTCTGGTTGGTCGACTTCAGTTGTCATAGAATTTAATGCTAACCATTTCACCTCAGCCACCGCATCTTTCACTAGACATAACATCAAAACAATCTTTGCGGTTTCCTGTTTACTATTTTACAGTTTACGTTTATGTTTCGATAGTAAGAGGCGAAGAAGTGAAGCTGTAAAATCCTTACACCGGGGCCTAAGAAGTTACCTCCATAATGCCCCAAAGTTACGTAACTCTGAAGAAGGCTCCCCGACCAACGCACGATCCGCCGTTTACGTTGAAGGATTTGAAAGCCGCCATCCCGCCACATTGCTTCGAGAGATCCACATTGAAGTCTTACGCTTATGTTGTTTGGGATTTAGCGATGGCGTGGTTGTTATATCTAAGCACGGGCTACTTCAACCATCCTTATCTACCGCCTTGGGCGTCCTATATTCTCTGGCCTCTCTACTGGATTTGCCAAGGCTGTGTTTGCACCGGCATCTGGGTTTTGGCGCACGAGTGTGGCCATTATTCGTTTTCCGACAGCAAGACTGTTTGTGACTACACTGGGCTTGTGTTACATTCTGCGCTGCTTGTGCCGTATCATTCATGGCGAATAAGTCACGCAAAACATCATCGAAGTACAAATGATATGGACCGTGACGAAGTTTTTGTTCCCAGTACAAAAGAAGAGTTTACTAAAGATGGACTGGCAGCTCTGTCTCCCACCTGGAACGTTTTGTCCCTGTTGAAAATGTCCCTGTTTGGCTGGCCTGGTTATCTAATGTTCCACGTCGCCGGACGTAAATACCACACTCATACAGATCACTTCAACCCAAAAAGCCCGATTTTTAGCGAGAAAGACTATAAAGACATCGTTATCAGTGACATTGCATTGGTGGTGTGGATCGGTTTCCTTGGCTACCTGGCTTATGTGAACTCTACTTTTTGGCTGTTGAAGGTATATATCATCCCTTATCTCATTGTGAATTTCTGGTTGGTCTTCATCACGGACTTACAACACTCGGATGCCGCTGTGCCTCACTATAGAGGCCAACAGTGGAACTGGCTTAAAGGGGCACTGTGCACCGTGGATCGGGATTACGGAATTTTGAATCATGTTTTCCACCACATTGGAGACACACACATTGCCCATCATCTTTTTTCACTCATACCTCACTACCACGCAGTTGAAGCCACGGAGCATCTGAAGAAAGCTCTGGGAGAGTTCTATTACAAAGACGAGACACCAATTTTCAAGGCTATGTGGTTGACTGGCAGATACTGCCGTTATGTTGAAAACTCTGGTGATATTTTATGGTTTAAGCATGATTAATTTCTGTCATAATATTTGCGTCAAGAATGAACCAGTTTGTGTAAATCACAGAAAATAGTGGATCACTAGACATTAAACTAAACAGCAAATTTGTAACATCTAGATAAGTATAATTCACTTTGATATGTTTTATTTTTTTGTTTTCTTATATTTTTTTTATAACCTTGTATGGTTGCAGCTGAGAAAAGGAACCCTAAAATTTGAAAACATACATTGAAGTACAGTCGTTTCTCCAGCCATTTGAGTACTGCTAACTTGAAATTTCCTCTAATTACCGTCTCGATGATTTATTTTTTCAAAGGGGATTTCTTTCTTTTGTTGATGAAATTTCAGTTTCATGCAGAAATTTCCATTTCATGAGCATTAAGTTCGGTCACCATCAAACTAATCTTACAATATCAATGTTTAAGTGATATGTAAATCTTTCACAATGATGAGGATTTACACAGGCAGGTACCAGATCTTTGTTAACACCTGTGAGCGTTCCGCAAAAAAAAAAACAAGATGTAGGCGCAAGATTTTGGTAAGTCCAGCTTTGAATACGGGTGTTATTTATTCCCTTAAGAATCTTTGACCTATTAATGAAAATATAACTTTGAAGAATATAAGAATTGCTCATGATCTTTTCAATATTACCAAATTACTACGGGACTTAGAAACTAGTCAACAAAAATTGCAAAAATTAATATGTTTATATAAAGATAAGCAAGCGGTCGAAAGAAAGGTCGACGTATCGAAAATGAAACAAGAAGTCGAGTAAATATTAAGCTTTCAGCATGGACAATACGGTGTTTTAAATGCTATGGAAACAATTGTTTAATATTTTCAGTTCAGTGCATACTGAACGGCTGAATACGTTTACAGTCGGTCCTTAAGTCCTCCTTTACGTCTTCGAAATTCTTCGTGTAACTATGAAATTGCGTTTAAACGACGAAAACGTTTTTATTCACTCAACATAAATCAATCAAATAAGTTTTTAAATAATTCTTTTACTTTACAGTATTGTTGGACTGATTAAAATTATCTATTATTTATTATTAAGATTGATAAATAATAACAATACTTTATTTATACTTTATTCACTCAACAAATCAATCAAATAAGTTTTTTTAATAATTCTTTTACTACACAATATTGTTGAATTGATTAAAATTATCTATTATCTAATATTGTTAAGATTGTTATATGATATAAATACTTTCTTTACATAGCGCTATTTCCTTTAGCTCGAAAACAAACAAAAAAATTCATAATCATAATATTGGATCCGAGAAGAGAGATAAAAACATATTAACAGCAGTACGTGAATTTAAGTTTCAAAAGCCATGTCGCATGCTAAACTGACGGTAAGATTGATTAAAAAGACGTTTCTATGGAAGGGTCTCGAAATTTGATAGTGAGCTGCTGTTTGATATTGTTGGGACGAAAGTTCCGTAAGCTAGGTGCCGCGAAAGAGAAACACTTATAGCCTTATAACTTACTAGCTTGACAGATGGTACTTACGGTAAGTTCTTGGAAGAGGATCTCAAATTCCCGCTTGGTACATAGGGCTCGAGCACTTCAGTAATGTCGGTAGGAGCCTGGCCGTTATGCGCTGTGTAGTTTAGTAGTAATATCCTACAATTAATTCGCTGGTTGTAATGTTACATTGTGAACTTGGGAGCTCATTTAATCAATGTTATTCTTGTCAGCTCCACAAATAATGGGGCGAAAAAAAGTCTTCCTTGCGGGGAACCTGGCCCAATCGAGCAAAAACGAATGGAATTCCAGTCTCTTATCGTTAGCTTCATAAATGATACCTATCTTTCATCTTGAATGCCTGGCCAAGGATAGAGCTGTTTAGTTGTGCGACTACGTAGAGCTTCATGGCACTGAAAGGTGTTCCCTTATTCAGAGATCTACTCTGAGTTGTAAGACGCCCAACGAGTCGCGAACGAGACAGAGACGAACGCTTCTGAAGAAAATGCAGAAAGTAATAAATTTAGCCGTTAGGCGTAAAAATTGACAAATTTTAACCATCAGTCGTAAAAAGGTGCTCCGTAAGAAAAAATTTATGGTGATAAAAATGGAAAGATATCAGCCGTTAGCGGTTAATAAGCCAACATTTTAACAGTTAGCCGAAAAAGCCATCACCCCACTGAGACCCTGAGGAAAGAAATGAACAAACAAATGCGACTAAAGGTAAATCGCGATAGAAAACAATTGAGAGACGGATTAAAACGACAAAAGCAAAGAATGGTTAGAAGCTTGGAAGTAATGAAACCGAGTGTGAAAAGGGAGACAAAAGGAGGTGACTGCCAAGACAAGATGGACATTAGTTCGGAGTGAGATCGTTACATCAACTTTCAGTACATAAGGTATAAAGTTGAAACGACCGTCAACTTGAGGCGAGAGAATGAAAACTGAACTCTGGCAAGATTCGTTCCCCCTGCATCTCGCTTTATTGAAATTTTAAGAGCATCAGGAGAGACAATAAATTTTTCTGGCAATAGAATTATCTAATGCAAGACATAAAAAGTAAAAGATAAGTAAACATGAAGAAACAGTTAACTATCATTGATGGTAAACAGGGTCTTAAATTCAGATAACGATGGAGTTGACAGAGCAGTGCCATTACCAGTAATGGGTGCGGAGGCAGGTAAATCTATTATATCAGTATAAATTGGTCTCTAGATTGTAACAATCTTTGACACAAATACTCTCCTACTTCGTTTGCGAAAGTGGAGGTGTGCAGATTCTGAGGTAATTCATCGCCGTGCGACTGATTAAACAGGCGTTTACCAGCACGGAATAACTTTCGCTGATTACAGCTGTTATTCTAAATATATTTAGTGTAAAATGCCTGTCGTGCCTTGTTATATATATGATTGTTGACACCATTGCTCTTAGCTCAGTTTGAAGAGAGCCAAGTCGGAATCAAGTTTCAACAACCTCCATCTTCTTTCAGCTTTCTGTAGCTGTCTCCTAGCTTGTCTGATTTCGTCCGTATACCATGAAACTTGTGCACGCACAACAACCGTTCGAGTCTTAACAGGTGCACGCATGTCCAGCAAAGCTTTTTGGGTTTTGTTATACGACAAAACAAGCTCTTTGAGGTCGTCCGGGGGATTTTTGCATAGCTCAGACTTAGCCAGGTCACCATCCAGGGAATCCACGTTAGCTAATTTTATTTTCCTAATTGAGAGAGACCTGGTGGAGAAAGAAGGCTTGATTGGGTGAAGATGACACAGCACTGGTGCATGATAAGAGAAGTAGCAGTCAGTTTGAGGTGTGGATCTTACAATTGGGTCAGACTGGCGGGCGATGATTAAATCAAGGGTGTGACAATAAATATGGGTTGGGCCACTACATGCTGTTGTAGGCAGAAAGATTCCAGCAGATCTCGAAATTTGGTAGGAATGACCTCTCCGATTAACTCGTAAACTCCATAAATTATACTTTCGGAAAAGGACAACTGCAACTGTCAGTGACCCAAAGGCGGCGACTTATTAATCTAATACCGAAAAAGGATGCAGAGTAAGATCTCACTAAAAACTGGTGTCCAATTACTTAACTAGATTGTGACTTCAAAAAGCGGCTGAGGCAACTGCAAACCACCTTAAAAAAGTTAATCCAAAACTAGTTGTAATTAAACGGGTTTTGTGAAAGGGAGATTTATTGGAGAAAAAATTTAGATTAATAGATAGTGCGTTAAAATATTCCAGGACTACTGCTTTGACATGGGTAAAGAACAAAGTAAAGGTCTAGGGCGTCTGATTTCCAACCGACCCGAAAGTAACTATGGAGGCAAACTACCCTGATAAATAGGCAAAAGTCTGTCACTGCCTAGGCAGCTGGGAATACTGGCGATTGAGTCTTCTTGGGAAGATTACAGTGTTAAAAAGCTTGTGAGCTTCAAAACTGGTTTACATCCTGTCAACTTTGCCAACAAATTGCCGCGTGCTAAAAGAATTGAGCAAATCTTTCTTCGATCTTTATGGAGCGGCAAGGGGGAAAATCCAAGCGAAATGTGCTGTTCTGTGGCTATTCAGACGGAATTCTTGACCCAGAAAATCATGGTAAATTGAAGTAATTTTTTTACTATGAATTGCTATATTTTGGTGGGCCTGCCATCTGTAGAGGCAAACCTAAAAAAAGATGACTTGCTAAAATGCGGCATCTCGGATTTCTTCACGAAGGAAATCTTGCAAATCTGCTCAGAAGTAAGCTTTAATCCTTGCTTGATCTCTATTGATCACTACCTTTCATCTAGTCTTTGGCGTAACTCGCTCATAAAAATCGATTTAGACCAGTTTTTTTTTATAAATCATGGTACTCTAAAGGCCTTAAAAATGTCGCTCATCTAATGAAAGATTTGACCACGTTCATTTCTTATCACGAGTTTGAAGAACGCTTCGGTAGCAAATCAAATTATCTTGGTTTTCAAGGCCATATGTCTGCATAAAACAATTAAAAAGAGATTGTCTCTTGTCTCAGGGAGATAGGGGTAATTCGACTTCAATGGAAGACATACAAATATTGCATAACAAAGCAGCGCGCATCATTTTAGATCTTCCTCCTTGTACTTCTGCAAACGATGCGCGAGACTGCACTGGAAAACCGTCGCAGAGCAGAGCAGAGCAGAGTGCAGTGCAGTATTTGCTAATAAATCCGTTAGACTTTTGCCAATGGCTTGAAGTGGTGGTACAAACCCAGAACAGGTGAGTTAAGTTCTCAAATTCAGCTCCACCCAAGGTGCACATGCACATGCATTTAACTTAGAAAATCATTTGTTTTTAGTCGTAATAGTTTGAATTGAAAATTGATATAAATATAATCTTTTTTGAGGATACCAGATTCAGAAAAAGGGATTTACACGAGGGTCGTCCTGAAAAGATTAAAATGTAAAAAACTACCATTATTTATAAATAAGAGAGATAAGAAACTAGTATAAATAGTAAAAGTATATAAATTAAAATGATTTAAAGAATATAAGATTTAGATAGGAATGATAATTATGCAAACAGGAAAAAATTAAAATGTAAGGCTAGCATTTAAAACTTTTGAAACAAGTTAAGAAATTTTTGATAAATCACAACAACTTTCCAACAAAACAGGATACGGACATTACCTCGTCCATCATAACTGGTTTGAGACCCTATGCCTTCTAAAAACAAAAACATCCATCTCTATTTTTCAATCGTCTGGATTTTTCGAAAGCGAGAAAGAGCC